TCCAAACTCAGATCCTTTCGCATGTGCGATCACCACTCCGCTTCTGCGACCACCGCGCCTGCACATAATCAGCCGCAGGTGCGCAACATCAGTACCAACAGCTGCCGACCATAATATATGAATGGAAAATGGTCCGAGACACGTTCGTAACTCACTTGGGCCACTCGGGACCCCGTCCAAATATACCAACGAGTCACATAACATAACACGGACATACTCGAGGCCTTAAATCACATATAACAACATCGAAACGACGAATCACACCTCAATTCGAACTTAAATGAACTTTGAACTTTGAACTTCCAAAACTCGCACCAAAACATATCAAATCAACCCGGAATGAACTCAAATTTGCATACAAGTTCCAAATGACATAACGAAGCTATTCCAATTTTCAGAACCACAATTCGAACCTGATATTACCAAAGTCAACTCCCGGCCAAACTTATGAACTTTCTAAACCTTCAAATTTCCAACTTTCGCCAATTAGTGCTATATCCAAATGCAAATCCAGTCATACGCCCCGGTCCAAAGTCACCATCCGGACCTAATGGAACCATCAAAAATTCGTTCGGGGTCAAATTTACAAAAGTCAACCTTGGTCAACTCTTCCAACTTAAAGCTTCAACAATGAAATTCATTCATCTAAACAAGTTCCGAAACACATGAAAACCAATACCGACAATTCAAACAAGTCATAATACATCATACGGAGCTACTCGTGCCCCCAAACTACCGAGCGAAGTGCAAATGCTCAAAAGGACCGGTGGGGTCGTCACATTTACTCTTCGCTACAACATAGGTATTTTCCTTTGCACTTTTCGGAGCTTGTAAAGTCCGTAGTTGTAAGCTCGAGTTCAAGTTTGAAGCCAAAGTCCAGTAGATCTACTCGACGTGACCCAGTTTTTGCACCACAAAAGGTTAGTGACTCTCTTAATTCTTTCTCTCGTTTTCTTTTACTCTAAGTTCAACTTACTTGTTTATTTTCTAGTATGTGAATCGTTGTTTTGTTCTTTTTATAACATGATTTGGGACATATTCGAATCGTGTATTCTGGTTGTAAACAATTTCGTACTAGAATGAAATGTGTTTGACCGAGTTGCAGATAACATGTCTTTAGGCAATTCTATTATGAATTATTTGAGATATATTATTGTATTTCCCTTATTAGCAATCATGTGTTAGTTTTTGTCTTATCTAGTTGTAGAGAAGTTTTAAAATAGTTGTTGTTCACATATTAGAATCCATGAGTTAGGATTTTTGTTACTTATTTATAGATAACTAAGGATTTATTTTGTTATACAATGTCTTTAGATTAATAAATTTTAGTTTAGGGGAAGAATGCTATCTTTATCACAACCCATAGTAAAATTCACGCCATTAGGATATTTATAATAAGCAGATAATTTAGTGGAGTATGTGTTTGTTGTGTTCATTGAATTTGATTGTATTAAGAACAACGTGATTATAACTTGAACTCCAGTTTGATGAATATAAAATATTTACTTATTTTATACTTTTAATATCATACTTTAAATAATATACTTAAATTTTATTTTGAATTTTGCCCCTTTCTAACTATTTTTGTAGGAAAAAAAAAAGAAAAAAAAGATTATAAATAGCAGAAGAAAAAGACAGAATGCTCGATGAAAGTCTGCTATGGCAAGCACAATAATTGAAATGGCAAATGAAAGTCTACAATTGAAATTTTGACGTGTCCAAGCTCCTATCTTGGACACATCCAAGCTCCTATCTTAGACACATCCTAGCTCCTGTCTTCGGACACATCCAAGCTCCTAGTCTTGGACACATCTAAGCATTTAATGCTTGTAATACGTTTGTATAAATTGAATGCAAATTTGTGGGGAAGAGAGAGAGAGAGAGGAAGCAAGAACTACTTTTATCTAAACTTTGGTCTTAACTTCTTTCTTTAACTATTTCATTTTCTTCTTGTAAGCTATCGGATTTTCTAAGAGCATTGATATTCTAGAATTCCTTTCTGTCGTGAGATTTAAATACTCCATAATGGAGTAATATCGTTTGTTGGGATAGTTGATGAATCTTGATAAATATTTTTATAATATTATTCCAGTTTTAATACATCCTCGGCTTGAAATTTTCTTTTTATAATTCATATTGTGCTGAAATAATGGTTTCTAATTAATCATTATTATCACTTCTATATATTTTCTTTAAGTTATTCTTATATTAATTTTATAATTCTCACGGAGCAAAATTAATATACAATAACCAATGAATAAAGTAGTAAAGTGAGAATAATTTTTTGTAAAGCTCTTATTTCAAATCTGTAATCTTGTTTGTCTCAGTTTTAATTCTCAAGGAGGAGCTGTTGTAGGCAAGATTACTAATTTTTATTAAAAATATTCTGATGAAGTTTTTACTACCTTTTAGCACAATTCAAGCAAAAAAATATTTTGGTTTGATCGTCACTAGTTTTACCTCAATTAATTACATAACCTCACGAAGTGCTATTAATTGACTTTCTCTTAGTGAGCAACTATAACTGCATTAGCAGTAAGCAATTATTCTTTAGAGAAATACATGTAGAAATTGAGATTTTATTATAATAATATTATCAAGTGAATTCAACAATTGCCAACTCTTTCTAAATTATAAATCTTTCGGAAATTGTTTGTTTTGCTTTAAGTAATTAACAAGTTTTAAAACCCCACTCACCTTTCATCAATTTGGTTCTCTCAAATAGTAAAAATGTTAAAAGTCTGTAGCCTAAATTAACCAATCTCTGTGGGACGATATAACAATTTTATTTTTGAACGTGACTTTTAGCCTTTCAAATGTTAAAGTTCTTTCTCAACTAAGCAAATTGTTTTATAAAGATTTCATTATACATTCTTACTCACTTTCTTTCTTCAATATTTCATAATTCATATTTTTTTCCCTAAGATTTCATTAGTTCAGCGGTATCTTTAAGCTTCCAATAGTTTTATATTTCTATTGATATATAAAAATCATAATATACATTTTAAGCTTTAGAGAAATTATTTTGAAACAACTAAGCAACAACTAGATAATACAAGTAGAAAATCATACTCTATCGAAATTAGCCACTCTGATACTGATATTTTAGACTTATTTTATGAAATAAAAGTGTTAAAAAAATACAAATAGAAAATAATATTCTAATAATACACTCAATGTAATAAAAAGATTTGATTATTTTTTAAATGCTTATATTGTTTATAAAATAATATCAATAATTCCTAAAAATAAGAATTTTATCTAGCACAATTATAATGATTATGACTTTCATTCTTTTAGCCAAGGATTTATTTTCAATATCATGAAAACTTATTTTTAGAGTACATTGCATTAAATACAATTCGGAACTCTCATAGGTAATTGTGCTGATCTTTTTTGTTTTTAAGTTATTGTGTGTCTTACTCTCTTGAAACTCTACATCAACTTATACTTACTTAAACAATTGTTGGATATTTTCCTTTTAGTCATTACTAGCCATAGGGGTGGACATCGGTCGGTTCGGTTCGGTTATGAATATTATCGGTTTTGCCTATCGGTTATCGGTTTAAAAATATCATAACCCGATAACCAAACCGATAAGATATTAGTTATCAGTTATCGGTTAATCGGTTATCTATCATTATCGGTTCGGTTATCGGTTTACCCGATAAGATAAAACAACTAAAACAGGTTCGCAATGTATAAAATAGTTTCGGTATAAAACTGTTTTGCTAAAACAGTTTTATAACATTTTAAGAACTGTTTTGCTAATAACTCTTTTCAGAACTGTTCTATTTCACAAGAATTTAAATTTACTGCAATATCCAATAAATAAACACTAACCGAAGTTTCTATCTTTCATTCTTCAACCCAAAAATTATAAACAAAAATTCCAATATCAGTCGGTGACGAAAAAATAGAATCAGTCATATTTTTACTTCGACACTTTCTGCAAATACAAGGGATCTAAATGAATAACAAATACACAACAAATCTCACTCTAGCTTTCAAACAAACTAAGAAAAATTCAGATCTAGAATGCTTTTAAACAAACTAAGAGAAAGATGAAGATGAAGCAACAAAAAACTTACACGAAGAATCAAGATGAAGCTGAAGAATGCGGCCGAGAAATGCGACTGAAGAGTGAAGAAGATGCGACTGAAGAATCTGATGGATCTGAGAAATGAAGTGAAGATGCGACTGACGAGTGAAAGAAAGGAGCCGAGAAATGCGACTGACGCCGGCCTGAGTCTTGACAGGCTGACTGGTGAGGGCGTGAGGCGGAGAAACTGAGAAAGAATAGGGAAATCAAAGAGTGAACTATGAAGTATGAATTATGAAACCCTAGTATGTATATACTTAAGGGTAAACTAGTAAATTAGTTAATCCTTATTGGGTTATCGGTTTTACCTAATAACAGAATTGCCAAACCGATAACCCAATAAAAAATTTATTTTAACCCGTTACCGAACCGTTAACCCAATAACCCAATACCGATAATCCAATAAATAATTAACGGTTCGGGTTATCGGTTTTACCCGATATATGCCCACCCCTAACTAGCCATTGTAGATTCAATCTTCAAACTTGATTTTTAAATTTCTAAACTTTTATGCCTTATTCAGTTTTCAATTATCTGAAATTCTTTATATCTAATTTTTCGATTCCTCGGTATTCAATTCTTACATAATTCATGTTTGTGCATACAAGATTGTTCCATGGATATTCTAGAAATGGCTTATCCGTAAGTCAATTAATCGAGTTTGATTCTTTATTGATTCAAAGGTCTTTTTCTTAATCTTTGAATTATTATTTTTAATATACATGGGTTGGAAGTGTTTAAATTTACTACAAAGAGGATGTAAATGTGTGATTTAGAAATACAGGGTGTAATCAAGAAAAAAATTTCAGTTGAAAACCGTTTTGGTTGCCGGATCGGGTCAGGTTGTGCGTTGTGAATGCACACGTGGCAAATAACAATTGGCTAAACCTCCCACGATGACGCGAAAAACAAATTCCTTTCCCCTCCTCATCCACCTTCTCCCATGGCTATCAAACTTAATTTCTTCAGGTACTCATATATCCAACCCTTTACAGACGCCTTCAAGGAATAGCTAAGGAATCGCTGTTAGGGTACGGTAACTTTGACGGGTAAGTTGCTCTCCTTATCATATATGTGAACCCAACGCATTTCGTAACCCTTAATTTGCTGTTTCTATCTTCAGTCAATCATTCAATCAACTGCTGTCTATCCCAAACCGGTTCAGTCAGCTAATCGAATCCCCTGTATCCATTACTTTGCTCTATTCGCGTCTGATTCATACAAAATTTACTAAAATATTTTTCTTCTGGTTCTAGAGGTAATTTAAATCTCAGAATCATACTAAAATTTCTGAAATCTGTTCTTTAATTCGTAAGTTTATTGTTTCTATTGTGGCATTAGGTCAGGATCCAAATATCTGGTGGAATCGATCTACAAACATGCATAGTTTTGATGTTTGGCCTTTTTTATAACCTAGGATGTAAATTAACGTGATGCTCTTTCATTTTTTAGCTTAGAACACCAAAAACCATCCCTTTTAACACTTGTAATTTATGGAGATAAATATATTTTCTTCTTTTATTTGATCTGATTTAAAGCTTTTGGTATTGACAGGATTTATAGAAGATGATGAGGTTACAAACTTATGCGGGGCTTAGCATAATAGCTACACTGGCCGTTATTTATCATGCATTTAATAGCAGAGGCCAATTTTACCCAGCAATGGTTTATTTATCAACGTCCAAGATCAGCCTGGTGCTTCTTCTTAATATGGGTCTTGTCCTCATGTGCATTTTGTGGCAGCTGACTAAGAAAATCTTCCTTGGTTCCCTTCGAGAGGCTGAGGTGGAGAGGCTGAACGAGCAGTCTTGGAGGGAACTCATGGAAATACTTTTTGCCATCACAATTTTCCGGCAAGACTTCTCAGTTATGTTTCTTGCAATGGTAACTGCGCTCTTGCTTATCAAGGGCTTGCACTGGTTGGCTCAAAAGAGGGTTGAGTATATTGAAACAACTCCAACTGTTACTACATTATCCCACGTTCGCATAGTCTCCTTCTTGGGCTTTCTCCTCCTCATAGACAGTCTCTTCTTGTACGACTCTGTCAGCTATTTGATACAGACAAGACAGGCATCTGTTTCTCTATTCTTTGCATTCGAGTAAGTCAAGCTCTTCTGACTCACTGTTGTTGCTCCCTTTTTTGCTTAATATGTGCTCCATGAGTTCCACTACTACTTTGTGGTGTTTTTACTACTGCGAGTGATATTCCAAGAGAAGAAGCTAGAGATGTTAGTAGTCTTACTACCTTACCTTTTCAAAAAACAATAAAGAGACGTTAGTAGTCTTATTAGATTGAGGGCCTCCATAGTCGTGTTTCATGCCTTACAAATCACTTGGTTGGAGCATGGATTGTATCATGTTTATGTGTGTGCTGGCGCGTTAACAAAGTTGACAGTAGGCTTTGGATCTAAGAATGCTATTTTCTTTTACACAGTTCCTACTTTGCTTATCTTCTAAGCTGATGCAAAATGCCGTGATTTCGGTATACTTATTAGTATTGCATTGTTAAAGCTCTTGTTTGTTAGAAACCTGATTTGTCTATTGTAAGGGCTGGATGGTGTCAAATCTCTTGGAATAGCAGTCTTATCTCGTATGTCATGTAAGCTACGTTACAAATCTTAATCAGGTAAAGATGTTAGTACACCCAATTTTCAATCCTCTTTGCTAGGATTGATCTTTTATAATGTATATTTTAATGATGATTCACTGTTTGGTTAGAATCCTTTGGTTTTTTCATGCATGTACTAACATTGTTATATCCATGAATTCTATTAACACATGGCTGATTCGCGTATCGTTCTTAAGTTCTGCATCATAGCTTTCAGTATATACTCTCCAGATGTCAAGTTGAGGATCATCATGAGGGAACTTCAAGACTGTGGTTACTAAGTATTAGTATATCTAGTTGTTGGAAATATGTTCTTGAACTTGATTACTTCTCGTATTCGTTTTCCTAACTGCAGTTTGATCATGTTAACTGTATCCTATATTCTTCTCCCTAACGACGAGCAACTTCTTTTGGGTAATGATTCAGGTACATGATACTTGCGACAACAACTGTCTCAACTTTTGTAAAATATGTCTTCTACATAAGCGACATGCTTATGGAAGGACAATGGGAGAAGAAGCCTGTCTATACTTTCTACTTAGAACTTATCCGAGACTTGCTCCACTTGTCTTTGTACTTGTGCTTCTTCATGGTGATTTTCATGTAAGTCAAATTTTAACTTCTATTTTGCTGTTTATTTCTCTGCTCATAAACTGTCTAGAGGTTTTTCTACCAACAGCTAAAAAAGAGTAATTATATAGAGGTGTATCTCTTCTGGATATAAAAAATTTTATCCTTCTCTTACATAAGTTTCTATTGTGATCAAGAGCAGCCATGGTTTCTTGTAGAAAGCTCCATCCATCTATCCATCCATTTATTTGACTGCTTTCACTTTTTTTCCCGTAAGGAAACATTTATTAGTCCATTCCGTTTTCATTATCTAGAAATTTATTGATGATATCAGTTGCCAATTTTGTTGCAAAAAAGCTGCTCTCATCTTATTATACTTGGTCTCACCAACACAAGATTTAGAATAGAGTTGAAAATATACAGAATTTGGGATTATAGTATTAATGAACTGAGAGCTAGAAGTTTGGCCGCACACCAGCATTCATATATAATTGGTTGTCGTTGCTGTGAACCAAATGAGCCACATTTATAGGTTTCCCTGAAACCTTTTTTTTCCTTTTTTAAATTTTCTTCAGTCAAGTTTCTGGATCAATAGGCCCTGTTAGACTGTTAGATCTCCCTGCACGTTCTGTGGCCGGCTTTGCCTATGTGTTGGAAGGAGTGCCGAGGATACATAATTTTTGGGCCACCCTAATGGAAGTTATCATTATTTTGTGATGATGAAATAGGTGACAGTGAAGCATGTTCATTTCTACGATGTGCTTGGTACTTTCTGTTGGTAAACTGGTACTAAGATGAATCCACTTGAGTACATCATTTCTCTTTTTCCCCTGGAGGCTTTCCTTTTTTATAATAGGATCTGAAACACATTATCGGTTCATGTACGATTGGGGACATTCTTTTTGGTAAATAAACCTTGCAGCTGCCAGCAGTTCACATGTTTTTTTTTGGGGGGGGGGGGGGGTTGTGTGTTAAAGAATTCACCATGTTCTTTTTGATCCTCTGCCTCTTTATGAGGGACATTTAGAAATAGGGAAGCACAATGTTCCAAAACCTTACTAAGGTTCCTGAGGTAGACATAGTTACATAGTCAAGCTGGTGTGTGATTCTTGTTGCTTGTTCTGCAGATCTGTATGCCTTTTGATAGAAGCGCTCATTCTTCTTTATCTATGTTGATGTTACTTTCAATTCTTTGACTCAGGCTTGTTTATTAAGCCTTTTTTTCTTTTGCTTCTGTTATTAGTACATTGAGACACCTCACTTGGTTTTTTTCATGTTACTTGTTCATCTTCGTTTCCTTTTCCTTGCTTAGCATTTATATTTTATTTGTTTTCTTCTACTTTCTAGGAACTATGGCGTGCCCCTGCATTTGATTCGGGAGCTTTATGAGACATTCCGCAACTTCAAGATTCGAGTTGCCGATTACATACGCTATCGGAAGATCACTTCAAATATGAATGACCGTTTTCCAGATGCTACACCAGAAGAGCTCGATGTGTAAGTTGATCACTCATAGCTTTTGTATATTTTTGGTTTCTTCGCAACTTTCTAATGTAATCAGTTACTTCTATGCTTATGCAGAAGTGATGCTACCTGCATCATATGTCGTGAGGAGATGACCACTGCTAAGAAACTTATTTGTGGGCATCTGTTTCATGTGCATTGCCTCCGTTCATGGCTAGAGCGTCAACACACCTGTCCTACTTGCAGAGCCCTTGTTGTGCCAGCTGAAAATGGGACGAATGTGGTAGGATCGCGACCAGATGCTCAACAAGGTATAAGTCTTTCCATTCATTGCTAATAATCTGTTTTCGAGCATCAAATTGTAGCATAAGTGCTGAAGTGTGAATCTCATTAATAGCAGGCCGTCCGATGGCAGACTTCTGACTTTTTTTGAGGGTGGTTCTGAATTTTTTTTCCCGAGGTTTATACTTTGTTGTTGTCACTATGATTGTGGATTGTATGTCTATTTTTTTTTCTTTTTTTCGAGAAGTGATTGTATGTCTAGTTTCCGTATCCTAAGGATGACAGTCATGTCGGAATAGCTAATCCAGAGATGGGACACTTTCACGTATATATGTTTTTTGTACAAATGAATGAATGTGGCACTTGTATATATTTTACTAAACCCTTGTTAATTCTCTCTCAGGCCCTGGATCAAGTGGTGCAAGTACATCTCAGAGTTCGCAAGCAAATACCGTGGCAAATAATAATGTTAGCCAACACCAGGCTAGACTCCAAGCTGCTGCTGCAGCAGCAGCAGTTTATCAGAAGTCCTTTGTTTACCCTTCTGTACCAACGCTATTGTGGTATTGATTTTCTTATCTTTTATGTAGACACATTATTGATTATTTGCTTTGCATATTTTTAGACCTTTCCTCATCTTACAGATATGAAAAGCTGAAGTATACCTGTCTATATTCCTTTTTCAGCCTACTAGTTAGCGATAAGTAAATTTAGGAACATTACAAGCAGGTTAGATAGGATTTCATTGTAGACACCAGTAAGAGGGAGTTTCATCTTTGTTATACTTGCTTCGTTTAACAACATAAAGTTGTTATCACTTGGTAAAGGGTCCGCTCTCTTGTGCACTTTATTACTGCACTGCTCTTTTACACAGGGCAGATCTATTTTGGTTTTTGTTTTTAAATTCTATGGATAAGTCAACTCCTGCTTTTTCTCTTTGTCCTTGCGTTGCCACTGGATGGCTACGTTGGACGTTCATTTCTTGTGCTTCTCAAATAAATATCTTTCTTAAAAAGAAACTTTTGTTAGCATATTACGTGGTACAGAGGTTACAATCTATACCACTGCGCTTCTTTTTTCCTATTCCGATTTTTATAAAATTACATAATTAACTTGTGCCTCTTACATGCTACCCAATAAACATTTAAAATAGATCCATTTTAAGTGTCGTCTTGGTATTTGGAAAGTCAAATATAGCTCTGCATGAGATGAATTGAGCATGAAATTTTGAATTTGCAAACAATGTCTCGCACTAGCATGCCTTCAGGGATTGTGATGTAATCACTAGTCTGATTGTGGGTCATTTCCGATTCACTCAATTGGGTCAGTTTCCTAGAAATTACTTGCTTGTCATGGACCCTCTATTAATAGCTGCTCATTTAGCTGTCCATGACTGTCAATGAGGTTGCCTTCAACTTGTAGTTCTTTGTTCTGCGATAGAAACTAATGGTTGATGCAGAATGAGGTGGAAGGTGGCTGCTTCAAGTTCAACTTTTTGACAATGCCACCTCCTTTCCTGTTTTCTTTCTTTCTGTTTTGGCAGTTGAAGAGGGAGTCTGTATTTTAGTAAGTTTCATAACTGTTGGAAGGAAATTGAAACAATGGGGTCTTGCTTGCAGGTCTCCTGGATATGCTCCAGTTCCTCCGTCCGATAGTCCAACAGGCAGTTCTGTCAATGTGCACCCAGATGGGGAGCGGGCATCAAATGAACAGTCACCGCAACATCAGTTAGCAAATATGCCCTTTGCTCAATATCCACAATGTGGTTTCCTCCCTTTTCAGTATCCTGGTGCTAACAACCTTAGTATTCCAAATGCTCAACTTGAGGCCCATAAGATACTTTTACAGCAACAAATTGAGGTATTAAAGTTTCTTTGCTTGATTGGTAACATTTTCTATATGCCTCTATTATACATTTGGTATTGCTCTGTAAAAGAGCAGGTAAATTCCCAATGCACAAATGAATTCTACATGCGTTGAACTTGAAGTGTGGTCTTTTCTTCAATTCTACTCACCTATGTTTGTTTAGAGTTATAAAGTTATTGAAATGACCTTATGCTCCTTTGTCAATTCTACTCACATTTGTTTGTGTAAATTATTCCAAGAAATATTCTGGAAAAACCGTTGTTAATCTTAGCGAACTGCAAGATAATTTTCTTTAAGAGAATATCGTGATTTTAAGTTCTGGATTAAGGAACATCTGATAACCTATTAGATCTTCTGGGATGAGTTGTACACTGTTATTCCTTGAGTATTTCCTTTCTTTGTTCTCTAAGTAATTTAAAGCTCACATGGCTCCTGTTTGGTATTTATGATTCATTCGATTCATTAGTTTGTTTGTGGACAATGATCTCTAGGTAGAGTTCATTAACAGTCTGGATTGGAATGTTAATCTGGGATTTTATTACTATTTTTAGACAATTGCAAGCTTTGCTTTATTTGTTATTATATCATTTTTCTTGGGCGGGGAGGGGGGGGGGGGGGTGAATTTTATTTTAATGCTTGGTGGATGAGATATATGAATCATGCACTTGGCTGCTTTATAGTGGACCGGATTCTTATGTTGGATGATTGTTTTTTCTTACCTTTTCTCTCTGTTTTCTGTAATGCTTTTGTTTATTCTCTCACGGAGAGCTTAATTCTCATTCAATTATGCCCCTGTACCCTGTATTTATGATCAGGTTTTGCAAAACCAGCTCAAGCTTTTAGAGAATCCAAACACACAGAAATCAGCAGATGCTGTAAGAATTTCTGATAGTAAGGGAAAAACAATTTTGCCAGAGCTCTCTCAAGGACAAACCGAAGGCGCAGAAATGTGAAGCTAGCACAACTGTATATTTGTCGTAAGTGCAGGCTGAAGTTTGGACGTACAGTTAGAAATAGCAATTGAACAATGGAATTTACAAGAGGTTCTGTAAGTTGTATAATTCTCGAGTGCTCTGGAAAGTGTTGTATTTTAGTTCAGCAACTGACTACTTCTGTCTTCTGATAGGATTTCTTCTTGAGGATCTCAAAAATCTTGGTACTCCTTTTGAGTTTTACTTCACTTATTATGTGCTACACACAATTTTCCTTAAATAAACTTCACACTCTTGTTCGTTCTTATTCTTCTTCTTTAGTTTTTCCCCTTATGTGAGACATTTCAGGGGAAATAACAATTTTGTTATCCTTTTATAACTCACACAATGGGAATTTATTGCAGTTTATCTGCCAGAGCTTAGACTAGATGATTTTACTCTTTCACATACGATATACGGAGAAGGGCGTAGAGTACCTCTATCGTATGATAAATGGTTTATAAATACCCTCCGTCCATCTATCTGTCTGAAAATATATAGGACGTTATTTCTATTTTTAAATTTACCCCGCGACTAACGGAACTCCATGTGGGCATCTCATTAAATGATGTGGCGTTCTTTCATTTGTTCACGTGGCTCAGTGGGGCTGACATTGTATTTGGGTCTTTTTCGACCCATTAAACCGATCCGACCCACTCATTTTACCTTATACCCACTCTTTTAACCCTACACCCACATATTTTACTGTCTTCTTTCCCAATTTAGAACCTTATACTCGTTTTATTTTTCCAATCCTATTCTTCCAACTTTGCACCTTTCACCGACAACCAGCCATGGCTTTTTCTTCCTTAGTTCTCTGTTTTTTCTTCTATTTTATTTCTATGTTTTCTATTTTGCTCTTCTTTTTCTCCTTTTTTCTAGCATCGAACCCATATTTATTTATCTAACTCTTTCTTGCTACTGCCGTCACTCCACACTGCCGGAGGCCCGGAGAAGGGTACAAAGTATTAGTACAAAAGGCAACGACGGACAAATCTCAAAATATTATTGACCGGCCAGAGTTGAACCCTTCTGTTCGAGCATCGCCTGAAATTGTCCGTTGTTTCAAGCTAGTTTCTTGAGTGACTCGAAAAGTCTCTCAAAAACTGAAGGAAAGAATAGAGCTTCACTTTGGCCGGAGAAATTTTCAGATGAAGGCTCCCATTGTTGATGTTGATCTTTATTTTTCCAGTAGTCGTTCTTGTCGTTCTTCATTAGCTAGGTTCTTTACGCTCCTAGATTTGATTGATATATTTGGATAATTTTAGCATCTGGACTCAATTTTTTTGTTTCAGATTTTTGGTTTGTTTTGATCCTTGTCTTCTTACTTAACAACCCAAACGTATCTGTTGATTTTTCATTTAAGAGTTTCAATACTTATCCTGAGTTTGATTGGAGAAATTTCCGAATCTGGTTTGTTTGATTGGAGAAATTTCCGAATCTGGTTTGAATTTCGGGTTATTTGATTTTGGGTTTTATCTATTCTTTAATTAATTTGTTGTTGTGTATATAAAGTGTCCCAACTGGAGAAGAAGAAAGGGGGAGGTCAGATGAGTGGGACTGGGTGTGATAGATACTGCCCATTTTTGTAAATGGGTTGGATAAGATAAATGAGTTGAAATAATATCCTTTCTTTGTTCCAATCAAAGATTGCCACGAGTTAAAAATCGCCACGTCATTAAATGAAAAACCCACCAATTGTGCCATTAGTCGCGGGGCATTTTTGTTAATAGAATTAACGTCGTGTATTTTTTTGGACGGATAGATGAACGGAGGGTATTTATAAACCATTTAGCAAATGATAGAGGTAGTTTAGGCCCTTTTCCTTACCATATAATAGTAGGAAAAACACTTGATAACCTTCCCCTTCTCAAAAACCAGCTTTGGATTAATGGAGCTTGAACAATGCACTTACTTGGGACTGCACGTGAATTAGCATTTTTGTGGAAAAGATTATCGTTCTAGGAATACAAATACAAACAAAAACAGTTCCACTAAAATTTTCTACTATCCGATTTAATATATATGACATTCTATATGTTTTTAACGTTTTTGAAACGTTTGACCCTTTATTTATAAACTAACATTTCGACCGTTGTGTTAATATCTTTAGGGGTCGTTTGGTATGAGGTATAAAAAGGTATAAGGGTGGTATAAAAATTTAATACCACATTAATACTATGTTTGGTTAGCAAATTAGGTATAAGTTATCCCGGTGTTAATTTAACACTGGGATAACTTATACCTTATAGAAGGTGGAGTAATTAGCACCGATATAACTTATACCTTCTTCTTAGAAATTATGCAATTGTCATTCTTAATACAATATACCATACAATGAATAAACAACAATCTCAGCATCACTATTCCCAGCATAACTTATCCAATATAACTTATACCGGCATAACTTATACCGGTATAAATCATGTTCCAACCAAACGACCCCTTAGTCTATTGTTATTACCAACATAATATAAAGTCAAACTAACGTTAACTAGTACTCAGTTAAATATTTTTCAATAAAATTAAAATGTGATGAATAGAATATTGTCTATGTGAAAATGAGGTTATACTACAAACATTAATAATTAATAAAGAATAGAATACTAAGAATTTGTTTTGTTAATAATTGCGAAATTACCCAGACAAAAACAAAAATTTGATACACCTAAAGAGCACCTTATCCCTCGACCACCTTCTAGGAAGAGTATTATGTCGATATAATAGAATACCATCAATATTAAAAAGAGGAATTTTCATAAAGCACTACAATCTAGAGCCTAATTACCATATCTACCTATAGTTTACCTAATTACCATTCATAATTGATGTTTATTTGTTATCAGCTTGCATCACTTGTATTCAGACGAGCAACGAATATAGCTTGTGTCAATTGTATTCCTTCGCGCTCTGTATCAACAAACACAACCTATATCAACTGTATTCATTCATGCGACGAATAAAACCAAGGTGAAATATAGGGGTGTATACAAAGGATACAACCGGTATCCACGAACATAACCTATATCAACTGTATTCCTTTGAGCAATTAATGCAACCCGTATCAAATGAACACAACCTATATCAACTTTATGCGTTTGCGTAACGAATAAAACCAAGACGAAGTACAAGGGTGAGACAAAGGATACAACCTGTATCGACTGTATTCGGGGAGGTCTAACCAACTGAGCTACGAGAACTTGTTGCTCTCTTGTTTCATTTCAAAACAATTGATCTCTTGTTTCAATATTACATGTCGATTTGCTATAAAAAATCAAATATAACTATGAATTGAAATTTTCTGAAAAGTATAGCTACGAATGGTAAAATGTTTATGTTTGTTGTGTCACGTAATTTTTCCTACTAAAAAATGGTTAAGAGACAAATTCAATATTTCATACCAATAGGGAAGCTACATTTCCTATATGCTCGATAAAGTCAAAAAGATTTGTATTGATCAAAGTGTTAGGCGGTTGTTCTGGTTTTCTTACCATATTTGGTTTTTCTATTTCTTAAACGAAAGGGCAACATATTTACCATAGCTGGGGTTTCCTCTTTTACAATGAAATTATAAATCTCCCATATTTGGCTAGTCTATTTTCTTGGAGGAAAATGTTTGGACATCTATAAATCGAGGATCCTTCCTTCTCATTCATCAACATCCACAATGTAGCCATATGGGTTTTGAGAGTCTTTTTTAGGGGGAGAATTGCGGGACAAATATTAGCGTGCTACTTGTGTTTGCCTCTTTGTGAGGTTGTTCTCTCGATATTTGTGCTCTCTTTTATATTGTGGATTGCTCATCTCCGCCTGTGGACGTAGGTCAATTGACCGAACCACATTAAATATTTGTGTCTCTTTTGATATATTTCTCTTCTGTTATCTGATTTTTCGTCATTCAAGGTTTGCTTTACTAACTTCTGCATGATACCTCATTATTTTCTGTTTACCTCGAAAATACGAGTAACAATTAAATTTGATTTGTGGTTTTAAAGATATGTGATTAAATTCAATACCAATTAGTATTCAAGAAATATGAAATAGAAATAAAAGGAATAAGTGAATCAAACCAATGTTACTCAGCAGTGGTGACCTCGAGCTTAGTGACCTCGAGATGGACTAAGAGCAATAAAGTAAGAACAAAAAATATAAAGGACAGTAAAGAACAATTCTGATGAAGAGTAAGAGAAAAAGGCAGGATAGTATATTCTTGCTAATGATGAGATGATGTTACAAATGATTGGGGTCCCCTTTATATAATAGGGGAACCCTAAATAAGGTACATTTCTATTTTACAGTAAGAAATATTCTTGATACAGCTGTCTAACCACCTAGTACGGAATCGTACAATCCTATTCCCGGGATTTGCGTCATGATCTTGGGACGTGGCAGGAGTCTCATTCTGTTACAAACCCATAACGGTACAATTTCGAGGTCAAACATACTTGACTTCGGTATTCCTCGCACTCCTATCTTCGGGCATTGCATCATGTTTTCGAGCTCGGATCTGGGCCCTCGAGCTTGAACTCGAACTTGCTTGGACTCGGGCTTAAGACGACCCCTCGAGCCTATAGGTTGGAGGCATACGATTTCAACCGTATACAGATAGTCCCAGCGTTTCTTAAAGCAAGGCGATAAGAAACGATTTGAACCCTAATTCTCCGGAGTCTCTAATGACGATGTCATTCCCGTGACGTGAACGCTCGAAGTGACTGAAACGTCGCTTTCGTGCAGTTCCCAAAGTCATTAATTGGAGGCAGTTGACGGTCGACTACTTGGCTTCCCCAATACGCTTTAGCGACCTCTATAAATAGGCCAACTTCACAAATTTGCAAACTTTATTTCTCTAATCGTTTTCAAAATCTCATCAGCTCCTTCAACTTCTCTGAGTTCATCCTTCTCTTTAGCTCACCTTTACTTCATTTCCTCTCTGAATTTCTACACCATAAGGGCCAAAACATCTAAATCTGTGCTGCAAAAAGAAAAAGCCTCTTCATTATCGCGACCAGCCAAAAGTAAAACAGTAGTACCACCTCGTATCGAGGAGTGTATTCCCCCGCCGTGCAAAACAACATCTGATATTCAAAATTGAAAAACCTGTATCGACACCAAGTCGATGTGAGCCCATGTACCGATACATTTGTTTGATAATTGAGGGCGAGCTTGATCAGGTAAGAAAGGACTGCAAGTGGGAGAACAAAGAACATAGTGATCCCTTCCCCCAAGGAGGGCATCACTACATATAAAGCGGGGTACTTAAGTGTGTATACCTACCCATTCACGGTGGGCCCTGCAAATCCAGCTCTGGGTCCCATCCAGTTATTCTTCACTTCTGCCAACAATACCAAGTGACCCTTGGCCAAATCTACCCTTCATTCTGGCGAATCGTTCATTTGATCAGATTTTTCTCCAGCCAGGTCGAGGGGATGCCTTTCACCCTCGACCATCTTATCAGGATATATAGTCCCCGACTTTATCGAGGTGGCTTGATAAAACTACAACGCCGATCCTCAGAATCTCTCTTCTCCAGCATCGATGAGGACAAAGACCGAGGATGGATGACCCGGTTTGTCCGAGTCAGGACCTCTGACCTGATTCCTGCTGAAAGGATGCCATTCCCGAGGAATGGAACATGAAACGTAAGTACATAGTAACTTTATACCGTGCTCTCTCTTCTTTTTCTCGACTTCATCTTTTCCCTTGGTCTAACCCTTTTTCGATGGTGTAGCTGCTGCTTGGTTTCCTTGTGCGGTCCCAGACCTCGAAGGTTGGGTCCAAAAACTGGCTTCCACTTCCTCGTATGCGGAGCGTTGCTGGCGAGACTTGGCCAAGGGCCGATGGGAGGCTAAAAATCATGGTGAGTTCCCTTGTTTGTTTACTTGTATTTCTTTGGTGGAATACTTACTTTGTTTTTATGCAGGCCTCGGAGACGGCGTTGCTATACGGCCGCCCCCGGCTGGTGAAGAAGAGATCCCGAAGCTTTCTAAAGAAAAGAAAAGAAAAAGGGGGTCGCCTGCAAATCCCCCAAAGCCCAAGAAACGCGCAGCTCGAAAGCCTAAGGCCGACACGGTGTCTTATCTCCAGAAATGGCCCAACGCCTTCGGGA